GGTATGGGCTACGAGCCCTTGAGCTCTGGCGGCGGCCTCGGCCCGCTGGACGGCCCACAGTTCGCCTTCGAGGGCATGGCTGAGCAGAGCACTCTCCCAGCGCGTTCGGTTCGAGGCTGTGTCCCCGCCTGGAGCTCCACCTCAGCCACACTCTCATAGCATGTGTTTCAGGGTTGCACTGGCCTCGCTAAACTTGCAGCGAGACGCATAAAGCTCTGGGTAACAGAGATTCAAGATCAGCGGGTTCGGAAACATTTTGGTCTGCAGCTGTCGCCACGTAACCGCCTGCCTTTTGTTCATTTTTTGGTGTGGTGGCGGAAATTCGCACCTGGCTAATCTGTAATGCTGGGGAATATCTTCAAAACTGGTGAGGCGATCCTCCCACTCCCAATCCTCATCCGACGTCGCGGCCGAGGCGGTGGTGGTGATGGTGGCGGCTCGGTTCGTAAGCGCTCTAGCCGCCCCGTGCGCCGCCTCGTTGCCGGCGAGCGAGGAAGTGTGGGCGGGTGCCCACAATACGTAAACACCCTATTTTCAATTTTGCCCGCAAGTAAAATTCGTAACGCCTCGGGAGAGACGCGGCCGCTGGCGAAGTTGCGGGCTGCCGTCTTAGAGTCGCTGATAACCACTTCGGCCATAGTGGTTGCCACTGCGAGCGCAATAGCCACTTCCTCTGCTGTCTCCACGTGCTCCATGCGTACCGTGACGCTACTTTTGCAAACCTTCTGGTGATCTACTACAGCGGCCGCAAAGCCACGCCTGCGCGCATACCTGGCCACGTCCACGAACACCGCCTCTTTACATTTTCCATACTTCTTCTGTATGTCCTGTGCTCTCTTTTCCCGTCTACCCTTGTGGTATTCGGGGTGCATGTTCTTCGGCAAAGGAAGGATGACCAGACTGTCTCTCACGTTGCTTGGTACGTCGAGTTTGACACCGTGCTGAGCTTGATATCTAATTATTAAACTCTCCAATATGTGTCTGCCCATTGTGCTTTTGGAAAGGAGCTCGTACTGTGCTATGCTCTATGCCTCTATCAATTCCTCCAGCGTGTTGTGGAGACCCAGATCGAGTAATTTACTCGTGCTCGTGTTCATCGGCAGCCCTATCGCCTGTTTGTACGCCTTCCTGATTATGCCTTCCATCTTTGTCTTTTCCGCTACCTGCCATTTGAGGTAGGATGCTATACGTACGTTATTCAGCTCATTACGAAGGCTTGAACGAGCTTTATCATACTGCCCTCTTTCATCCCACTGTGTCGGTTTCTTATGCGTTTTAGTAGTCGGATGGTCTGAGCAACTGCGCCTTCTCGTCTCCTGATTGTCTCCCCATTGTGGCCATTCGCCGCGATGTGTAAGCCGAGAACACGCATATTATCTATCCTAGGCACAGGTCGAACGTCGGATGTCGTTAGACGTATGTCTCTACCGGGATCATTATTTACCTCACCGTTCGGCTTGCGGCCCCTTCGCGTGGGTTTGTATACTAAATGTTCTGATTTTTCCGCAGAACAGCTTAAGCCGGTGTTCTGTATGTATCGCTCAACAGTCTCGATCGCGCGTTGCAACGTCTGTTCTATGTTCTCGTCGCAGCCCTCCGTAACCCCCAACCTAATGTCGTCGGCATAAGGGCTGTGATAGGGCCCTTCGATTAATTGTAACTTAACTGGCAACCCCACGAGAGCTATGTTGAAAAGCATGGGTGATATCACCGATCCCAGTGGTGTACCGGCGCTACCTAATTCTATCAATTCTATTTCCTCGAAACTAAGCTGCCCGAAAGTAAGCTTGGCTTTTCTGTTCGTGAGAAAATCTCGAACGTAGTTGTACGTTCGTTAGCCGAGATATAGTTCCTGCATTTTGGCCAGTATGGTTGCATGCGTTACGTTATCAAAGGCCTTTTTCAGGTCCAGGCCAAGTATGGCCTTGGTGGACCTCGTAGGGCTATCTATTACTTGGCGTTTTATATGTAGCATCGCGTCCTGCGTGGAGAGGTTTCGCCTGAACCCCAAGATCGTGTGGGGGAGCAGGTCGTGGTCCTCGAGGTAGTTGGTCAGCCTGGTAAGAACCACGTGCTCCATTACCTTTCCCAAGCATGAAGTCAGCAAGATTGGTCTGAGGTTATCTAACAGCAGTCGCTTACCCGGCTTCGGTATCAGCACGATGTCAGCAGTCTTCCATTGTTGGGGCACCTTTTCTTTTTCCCTGCACGCATTCATAAACACCGTGATTTTTTTATCTATTTATTGTCTAGACTTCTGAGGGTTTTATTTGTAATACCGTCGGGTCCGGGTGCCGATGTGGTGTTAAGTTTTTGTAATACTGCCCTGATCTCTGACTTGCAGATCGGTCTGTCTAGGACTTCGTTGACTGCACCTCCATAATCAGGATGCACATGCGACCGGGCAGAACTGATGTACCGTTCCGTAATCTCCCGTAATATTTCCTGCTCGGAGCCTTCATACGCATGTATGATTCTGTTGATGTTCTCTCTGTGAGTAGTTTTCGTCTCATCCGGATCTAACAGGTACCTAAGTAAGTTGCACGTCTTTGCGAACCCTAGTTTGTTCTCCATGCGACTGCAGGTATTCTCCCACTAATGCTTGCACAGCTGCTGCGCATGACACTCAATGTCCATATTGAGCTTTGCGATCGCTTTCCTTAGTGGTCTGTTGTGCCTCTGCCTTTTCCATCTTGCCTGCAGGCTGGGTTTGGCCTCCCACATATGTAAGAGTCTGCTGTC